GCCTCAGTGATGCCCAGGATATGCCAGTTTGGACAGGGTAGCATAGACCTATGGAGGATGGTATAAATTGTGATCCCTCATCCAAGAAGAGACCTAAATGTAAAGCTAGAACAGGTAAACAGGGCTTGGGCTGCTGTATTGATCCAAAGAAGCTCCCAGCACTACCAGCATGAGCAGAGGGGGCTGTTGGTGTTTAAACAGGAGTTTGCTTTTTCAGTGCCATTAATATGCAGAGTGGGGAATAAGCTACTTGGATGCTTCCTTCACAGACCATAATGCAAACATAAAGCAAAAGACAGACTTTGCCTTACTCTGATCCCCTTAGACATACATCAGCGCTTCTAGAGCAGTGGATAGAGCAGCCGGCTACATACACGTCCTACTGACCATGTCTTCGCCGCTGGAGGGGGGTTAACATATTCGGTGTCATTGCAGGCTGAGGAATTTCGGGCCGCAGTGCACATGCTGCTGGAATGGCTTTCTGAGGCCGAACAGACCCTCCGCTTCAGGGGGGCGCTGCCTGACGACACCGAGGCACTGCAGTCGCTCATTGACATACATAAGGTAAATGAGTCTGCTCGGGAGCCTGCACCGCCCTGAATGATAAGATACTTCCCAGGAACAAAGGGCAGCAAAAGAGCCCCTTGCTGTGAAGAAGCTGCAGGGGAGGCTCTTTAGCAAGAGTTTTCAGAAATAATCGATGGGAAGCACATTAAATAGTGGCCTCCCAGGTTGGGAAACTGGATTGGCCTGGCTTGTAATACAAGGTGCCAGTCAGTAAGGGAAATTACCTGGGATGCAACAACCCTTCAGGGCAAATAGCCGTACCATAGACCCCCGCGAGGTTTAAATGGAGATCTTCAAAGCTGAGGGCTAAGGGGCTGGAGTCTGGCTGTGGGTTCTCACCCCAAGGGAACCCTGTCCTTCAGGAGTTCATGAAGAAAGTGGAGGAGAAACGAACAGATGTGAATGCGGCTGTGGGCATGGGGGAAGTCATTCTGGCTGCCTGCCACCCGGACTGCATCACCACGATTAAACACTGGATCACAATCATCCGAGCCCGGTTCGAGGAGGTGAGTCACGGAGGGCCTGGGGTATGTGGGTGGAGAGGGAGGGGCCCTCTGGCCACTGTTGGGGAACAGGGCCAGGAACAGAATTAATGTGCAGCATCATCTTGGAAGCACCAAGATTTGTTAACCTAAAATAAAAAACATTCTAGTCCTGTCTGCTTCGGTGAGCTCTCATGAGACACCATGCATCAGCCATTGGCCTAGGGTGGGGGTGGATGCCCTGTCCCAAGGGCACACAGCTTCGCTTCTCTCTAGGGGAGACTCTAGCAAAGAATGTCCCTTTGCTTTTCCTTGTCACGTTGGTGTTCCTGTTAGGTCCTCACGTGGGCGAAGCAGCACCAGCAGAGGCTTGAGTCTGCACTGTCAGAGCTGGTAGCCAACGCTGAACTCCTGGAGGAGCTCCTGGCCTGGATTCAGTGGGCCGAGACCACGCTGATTCAGCGGGACCAGGAATCCGTGCCGCAGAATATCGAGCAGGTCAAAGCCCTTATCTCTGAGCACCAGGTAACTCCTTCTCTGCTATCTGCTTTCTTTCTTCCCTGCCTTGCTGCTGGGGTGCAGACTGAGTGTGTGACAAGGACTGACATAGTTTGATGTGGTATAACCACCCCTGCTCTTTTGAGGAGGAGAATTTTCTTTTATGATCCCATTAAAACCACGTTAGTCATCTGGACTTGTCGCTTGCAAGCCAGGCGAGGAACTGTTCCACCCAGCCCAGGAAGCAGAACATCAGGACAGGAAATCAAAGCCGTGGCTGTAGAATAGCTTTCCTACAAAGCCACGTGGCGAGTATACCCAAATGCCTGCTGTGGTCTGGGAGTTTCTAGGCAAGGATCTAGAGGGACAACGGCCTTGGGTGGAGGAAATTATGGGAAACGTTACAATTCTTCTCTCCCTTTTGCCATTGAACAGTTGTTTATGGAGGAGATGACGCGAAAACAGCCTGATGTGGACCGGGTCACCAAGACCTATAAGAGGAAAGCCACTGAGCCAACCCATGGACCTTTCATTGAGAAATCCCGTAGCAACAGTATGTTCACAACTTATTGTTCTATACATTCGGCCCTGGAATGACTTCTGAGATTTAGGGGGCTGGGGGGAGGACTGCAGAGAGAACCTAATTAGGCTGGCTCTGATTCTCAATTAGAAATGCACCTTGCTTTGACAGCCACCTGCAAACGGGGCTGACAATTGCCAGGGGAATGGGAGAGAAAACAGGGCTGGTATTTGTATTAGTAGAAGACATATGCCAAAAACCTTATTATGCTCTGTCTTTCCATCATCCAAAGACTCCTACGGGTTCTGGTTTGGTTTACTTCGGTTTCCTTGTACTTCCAAGGTGCTGGGAAGGTCATGCAGCATTTGACTTGGTGATTTGCAGTCAGGGTGCCACATCCCCCAGGGGTGCCGTGAGATCCTTTTAAAGGTGCTGTGCAATATTGGCACAGTTAGGTGTGCAAACAGCTACACCCAATTCACAAGATAAACCCAGCAATTTCAAATAGGAGTTCAGTGCATTAAAAACATTCTGCTTTTTTGTGGGCTTTTTGAGTTTCTTACAACAGAAGAATAGCTCTGTTATTTTTCTGTAGTCAGAAAATAAGTGTAAGCTAAGAGCTGGCATTTTCTGAGGGAAGCCTTAAGTCTAAAAAAGATGGAGAACCACTGCTTGTTCTAGTTGATCTAGGATGCTGTTTTCTTCATGTGTGATTCTGGGAGCAGAAGGGTCAGGTTAAATCTAATGGAGTGGGGAAAACAGAAAAATGTGGGTCCCAGGGATAGACTGCAGATATATCAGGTAACGTTTCCCAGTCCCATATTTTCCTTTTAAAAACTGACAGCAAAGGATGCTGGGACATTTCTCTTTAACAAAAAGGAGGGTGTCTCTTTTTTCCCCTGGACTTTCCAACCCCCCCATTATCCCCAGTGGCGTGTGTTTCTCTCTGCAGGGAAGTCCTTGAGCCAGACAGCGCCTCCCACCATGCCCATCATCTCCCAGTCAGAAACGAAGAACCCACGGATTAACCAGCTGTCCGCGCGCTGGCAGCAGGTGTGGCTGCTGGCCCTGGAGCGGCAGCGCAGACTCAATGATGCTCTCGATAGACTGGAGGAGGTAACGGCCACGCGGGGTAGAGGGTTGCGAGAGGAGGGGGTGGGAGCGGAAAGGGAACTGCCTCGTCACTGAGCTGCCAGGAAAGATGGGGAGAGCACGTTGCACTAACGCCAATTGAAACCGCCTTGTGTGTATCGCAGGTCGCGACCAGTACATTCCTAAAAGTGCCCACGAGAAAACCCTCTGCTAAAATAGTAAGGCCTCCTGGAAGCCTCCTGTCCTTGTCGCGGCAGGTTAACCTGCCTGCTTTGCGCTATGGGAGTCGATCCCTCTGTAGCTAATGAAAGCCAGCCCTGCTTTGACGTAGTTATAATCCGTTTAACAATGACAGTACTGCTGTGTGTATCTATATATCTCTTTTTTTCAGAAACCTCTAATGTCATTTTTGTTTTTGTTTATGCTTAACAAAGCAGCTATGCCCAGAAGTGAGTGTTTTTGTTTTTTGTGGCTTTTCCTGTAGGTCAGTTCAATTGATGCGTTTTAATGTTTTCCTTTGTTACTTTGAACTCCAAGCGTTTTTTGGGTTTTGTTTTTTCGACTGAAAACACTAATGAGCTGTTGCTTTGGGTCACTCAGAGCCCCTTGAAGCTGACAGAGGTCTGAGGCATCTCCTAAGTGTTGAGGCCTCAGTTGGGTTAAATGGGCAACCGTCTTGTGAATGGTGATTTGCGTCAAGGGTTGTCTCTCGGCGCTGCCATTCCAGAGACTTGAGCCTCAGAGAGGCCTTGGGGCTCGCTGTGCAAGTTAGGAAAGTGGTGATGGATCATAGAGGCACTTGGGTGAGGAGAACGAAGGTTGCCTTGGCTGCATAGCCTGTCGGTTGATTCACCAAGCAATATTATGATCCATCTCAAAGGAGAGACCACTTTCCTTTCTGGACAAACACAGAAGAGCTCTGTTTGCAGCTGCTCTGTTCTCAGCAAGGTAAAACTACCAGACATCCAGAGAGGGGAAGGAACAGGAGCCCTGAGAACAAAGGATCAGGGACATCATTAGGATAGTCTGGGGCAAAGAGCTATCTTCTTTGATGCGTGCAAAGAGGCTATTTGTGTGTGTCTGTCTGCAAGCCCATCTTCTATCCGCATACATGTGCGTGAAACAAGCGTGGAGAACACGTGACTTTCTCGTGTCTATGATTGTGATGTATGCGTCACATGGTGGCTGTCAGAAACAGTGTGTCCTGTTCTGTTATGCAAAGTTGGGGTCATGGCCACGTCCTGAAGAGGAGTGTCCCTGCTCTGCCGTTTTGGAGTGTTGCTTTCAAGAGGTGTGTGGCAGTCAGGCCTCTGGAAGCACTGTCCATTCGTGGCTGAAAGCTTAGTGTGTATAGATCAGGGAGAAGGTTCTGCCAGTCCTTCCAACTCAGACTCGAAATGTTTTCCTTCCAGTTGAAGGAGTTTGCTAACTTTGACTTCGATGTCTGGAGAAAGAAATACATGCGCTGGATGAACCACAAGAAATCTCGGGTGATGGACTTCTTCCGACGCATTGACAAAGACCAGGATGGAAAGATCACTCGGCAGGAATTCATTGATGGAATCCTTGCTTCCAGTAAGTCTTTATTCATCTTAGCTCGCTTGCGACAAGGCACAGCAAACCCCACATTAGAAAAATCTCATTAAGTGCCACCACATATGAGGGGCGTTTAGTATCTCTCAGGGACAGAGAGCTGTGAAGTGATGGCATAGCAACCTACCGTGGGTGTTAGCTGTCATTGCCTCATGCTATCGTTGCTTCTCATTACTTGTGGCCTCAAAATCAACATTGTACTTTGCAGCATGGCTCCTCTCCTATAATGACTGTTTTGATGGAGGCTACACATCAGGAAGAATGTGTGATTCAGGGTAGAGCACATGTGCTGTTTCCACCAAATTGTGGGAAGAGATACAAGGAGTTACCTATTTCTAATTGCACCTCTGTGTTTCTTGTTTCTGTTCCAGAATTTCCCACCACGAAGCTGGAGATGACGGCAGTGGCTGACATCTTTGACCGCGATGGGGATGGCTATATTGATTACTACGAGTTTGTGGCTGCTCTCCATCCTAACAAAGATGCTTACCGACCCACCACAGACGCAGACAAAATTGAAGATGAGGTAAAGGAGTGAGAGAGCGCAGACAGGTTTTTAATAACATCTCAATTACATGTCCAAAGAGCAGGCAGAAAGCTGCCTTATGAGCACCCAGAGAATCCTAGCGGCACTGATCCAAGATCAGGAGTCAAGTATTTGAGACCTTTTTGAAGTTTAGCTGGTTATGAGCCACGTTCATTCCAAGTACTGCTTTATGCCTATAACTGGTGATAGCCAGCATATCCCTTGCAAGAGATACAGTTGCTAATTTCTCACCTTTCTCTTTCTGGTTTATGACAGGTCACAAGGCAGGTGGCTCAGTGCAAGTGTGCAAAGAGGTTTCAGGTGGAGCAGATTGGAGAGAACAAGTATCGGGTAAGGGCGACGATGCTGCATTTTCCACAGCGGCACAGATGTGCCTGGTTTCTAGGCTGTGTCTGATCAGAGCAGAGAGGGGAGTTAGCATTTCTTTCCTGCCTGGATGAAGCCAGCTAGCTGGTTCTTGCGTTAGTGAGTCTCCATTTTTTTGAAAGGTTGAATCAAGACTCTCATTGATGCCAGTTCCTTGCCTTCAAAAACGCTAAATGTAGATACTGGGCATCCAAAAGCCTGAGTCATGTGCTTTGCTTGCCTAATTCTGTGTTCCCCGAGTTGATGTGACAGTCTTAACTCTTGGCAGCAGAGGTTTTGGGGCAAACTGCAGCAGCGTCCCATTAATGGAGCCCCTGGCTAAGTGTGTCGTATTCACCACTGCGTGGGGACATCTGCAGGCAGTTGCCGTGTCGTGAGAATGTAGCAGAGACGACAGTTATAGATGCTCCATGGTCGTTTGCCCTCTTTTGTAAAAGACAGCAGAGGCGATTTAAGCAGGCCCATCTGGTGTGTTAAGGCTCGGATGTGCCTAATTACAGAAGTGCAAGGACAATATGAATGTGGCACTGTTCCAAAGGAGCTGGACCTATTCACCATGAGACTGGCTGTATTTGCTATAGGCAGAAACAGCCGGGAAGTTTCCTTGTGTTTGAGGGTAGCTTGCACCCATGGTTTTCATGGCCCACTTCGAAGAGGGGATAAGAATTGTCCTGCGTTTCGCATTTGTTTCAAATCATTCCATGGTTCAGACTTCTGAAAGGGACTCGCAGCATATCACTGTGGTGCTCTGCCTTCCTTTAAGGGTTAGGCCTTTGGAGCTAAAATTAAAGGAGTTAAAACACCTTGAGGTACCTTCCATCCTCTTTCACTCATCTGTGAATTTGGCTGTGAAGAGTCACAGCCAGTACTTAGGGAACAGGCAAAGGTGGGTCGTGATATCAGATAACGTGATGCGTGCAGGTCTGGAACTGCCTGTGGTTAAAGTTTCGTGAGTATTACGTTTGTTAATCCTATAAATGTTCTCTTGTTTTTCTCCCTTCTCTCTTCTCTCCCTCTTGATGCTTCCCCCACCCACATTCTTTCTCTACATAGTTCTTCCTCGGCAATCAGGTACAGTGTGCCTTTTGATGCTGTCTCTCCATTCTTCTTGATAAACATGGCTTGTGTGCGTCTGCAATCCCAGTCCCTCCTTCATTGCTGTGAGAGGACGTGATCCATTGAGTGCTGTGTTAGAGAGCTTGGTACGCTCAGCAGAGCCTGGTATACAGCGGGGTGTTTGGCTGAGAACAGGGGCCAAATTAAGTATTGTCCAGTTGAAAATCTGCAGTCGACAAAATGCAGTATGTCTCTCCACCTGGCTTCTCTCCCTGATGCTCCGGTGGCATTGGAGACTATGGTAACATTCCTGGAAAAGGAAAGAAAAAAGTCCCATGCCCTCATACCAGGAGCTGGGGGTGCCCAGTGCTGTGGTTGATGCTACCTCTCTTTCGAGAGGGAAATCATTATGTTCCTTACTAAAATGAAGGGGCTGAAACCTTCTGTAAATGGACTGTATACCAGGATCTGGATGAGCTGAATATATTGCAGTCACCATGGAATGAGAATGCTGAATCCACTGGGTTAATCACTTGGGTAACTATAACTAAACCCTCATCACTGCTACTTGGAGCAAGTAACTCATTACTGGAACAAGGCTCATTTAAAAAAAAATGTGCATGTATTTGCTATTACATTCTGGCGTGAGATGGGCACTGCTGTGTCTGAAGGCTGACTAGCACAGGAGAGCTCCAGTGGTTATGTGAGGGGGGGTAATGTTTTGGTAAAAGCTGCCTTTGGACAGGGAAGGGAGCTTTTAGGTGGTGGATGCTAAATCTGGAAGAGAATCTGAATGTCTCAGGTGGAAGAAAGGATAGAATGTAGTTCCCTTTGTTTTAGACAAGTGGCTAAAGATAAATCCACCAGGCTGTGACTTGGCTGTGAGGCTCCTATCAAAGACTGTCTCCTTTTTATGGTAGACATTTTAATTCAATGTGGCAAACCTGGAATAAACGATATATGCTGCCAGTATTTTGAAGATGGAGAACTAGATGCTCCATCATGCTGTGGTAATGCCAAAGAGCAGGTCAGTCTGGAGCAGGATTTTCCAAGCATGGGGAGATGCCCTGTAGATTTGAAAGTAACTGGTGCTTGTAGCCAACAGTGTCCTGTCCTTCAGTGAGCCCGAGGACCCTCTTGTGATTCTAGCTGGCTGGTGTAGCACAGGGGCAGGAAAAGGACTGTCCCAGGGGAAGTGTGCAACTCACTGCCCCAGGGGCACCCAAGCACCTCTGAAGTGTCACTTGGACACTTTTGAAACTGAAAACTGTCATCTCCAAAGCCAGGCAGCCTCCTGTCCTGCTGGCTTATTGTGGGATCCTAGGGTATGTCCAGGCCAGAGGTGAGCATGGGTGCTCTAAGCTTGCCTAAGTGTGTCTTAGTGAAGTTCATATCTGTATCCCTGAACTAACTTCTGACTAGCTAGTGCAGGTCCTGCAGAGCTCCGTGTGGGCCAGCGGCCTGTGTATGTATGCAGGCAGGCTTTGCAGCTGTGCTGCGCTAGAGACACTGCTGGTAGTACCTGCACTAGCTGGTTTAAAACTAGCTTGGGCAAGTCTCTGCGAACTATGAGAAAGCCAGACCTTCAGCTGGGGAGTGCCATGAGGAGCAATCCCTTACGAAAGACTGCTGCCTGCAGCTACGGGCTGAACAAGAACCCTTAGAAGGGAAGGATGCCCGTGGCCCAGGTGTCGTGCTGCCTCTGATGGCCTCTCCTTGCAGAAATCAGGCAAAGTATGTTGTGAACACCCCTGTATTTCTCACCTCCCCTCAGTTGCCTCCTCACAGAGTTTTACTCCATGTGTAATATTAGATGCGTGGAGTAGTTCTGCCCAAGTTCCCCTTCTTACTGCTTGTTTTCTTATATCTGCACTCTGTTTCCTGGGATTTTTAACCCCCTACTCGCAAGGGAAAATAAAGCTACCACTTCTGGAATCCTGTGAGGTCACAAGGTGCCTTGTCTTTCCAAGGGGATCAATCCCACCCCCTCCGTTTTACCTGAGATCATAAGCTCTTATGGCTTGGCAGTCTCTCTGTAGCTCATTGTTATACCCTTCTCTGGTAGGCTTTGGGCTCTTCCCAAAGGATTCCCTTTGGGGGAGGTCTGTCATGCCTCACAGTGTAACAGCGAATGCTTAGAGAGAGGGCTCTGCAGAGAGGCATATGTGTGATGGGGGACATCTGGTTTTGGTGACAGGCCTGGAGCTCAGGGTGATGGCATTTTGATTTGGGGCATGGGGGACAATGGTCTGAAATCACATAAGCTGCTTACGAGCATCATACTCACTAATGCACCTTCTGATACTTGCAGCAGAGATCTCTGTTATAGATTCACTGCACACGTCTTCACTGGGGATGCACTGGGGACCATTGCTGCTGGGTAGCTTTCTTGCGGAGGCTCGGTGAAGTAATTGGGCGCCAGACTTAATCAGAGGCTTCCCTCTCTGCGGGGACACGGCATTGCTGGCATTTCCTGTACCAGCCTTCAGTGACGCGCACGTTGTGATCATCTGCCCTGTTCCAATGCCAACAGCATCAGGAATATCAGTGTGTTCAGCCTCTTCACTTTCTCCACACAGCGAAAGGCAGAGCAAACCCTTGTTCTCCTTAATAAAAACTCACTGAAGAACAAAACTCCAGGCTCCAGTTTGCTGCCTGGCTGTTCTTTGATCCACAGCTGGATTTTGGTGCCCTTCTGGCATTAGCCTTGGAGAATGTTGCTACTTACATTGCCCCATGCTTCTGTAGAAGGACACTCCCCATAAATTGACTCCCGGGGGGATTTCTCCCCAAGTAACATGTAACTTCATACATTTTGGAGGAGCCCTACAATAACAGTAACTTGAAAACTGTTGAGGGCTACAGGCAGGGACGCCTAATCCTGATGCAGTCCGTGTTGGAAAGGAGCAGTGGCTCATTCAAATCCCTGTGTCCTGAACTGTTTCTCTGTTGGTTCTGCAGTTTGGTGATTCCCAGCAGCTGCGGCTAGTTCGTATCCTGCGCAGTACTGTCATGGTTCGAGTCGGTGGCGGATGGATGGCCTTGGATGAGTTTTTAGTGAAAAATGACCCTTGCAGAGGTGAGAAGATGCCTGGGGAGAGAGGGGGGGCTTTGATGAGAGTGTTGGGTGGGAGGTGTTGGTAAAAATGTCTTTCAAAGTTTTCCCGTCTCTTGCTGTGAGTTTATGCAATTACTGGAAACCTGTCATAGCCATTATAACTATGAGGCTGCCAGCTGTCGTTAGCTGAAGATGACTCCTCAGTTGGATTGCACAGGCAGAGGTGGGATGTGGAGAAATCAAGGTTTGAAAAATAAATGAGATGAAACTTTTCAGTGCTGCCACATTTTGGACTCTCATCATGGCTCGGACTGGACGTTGCTTGGTTGTTTTCTGAGGGCCCCAGCACTTGGAGTCATGGGGATATGTGAGGAGCTCAGCTTTCAGTTAAAAAAAAAAAAAAAAAAAAAAAAAAAAAA